AAAAAGGAAACCCGGCCCGAAGCAGCTTTTAAGCCGCGGCCCAATTTTTTTGTGTCCAATTTTAGTTCTATTTTCGGTTTTGTTTTCTCCTCTTCCTAATTCAACAAGGAACCAAACGGTGAGTATATATACTTCTCTCATACATGAATATATTCATATTTGATACTTGCATATATAAAAATAACTCAAAACACATACGTATCAGTCTTTATCACCCATCTGTCCAGGTATATCAACCTGCCTCTCATGATCATAATTCGTTTTTTTTATATATTGAAAACATTCTTAATGTGTGTATAATTATATATTTTTTTTTTATGTTTCAGCAAGTATTTTTGTGATGGTGTTGGATTTCATATACAAGTTATTCCCATGTCTTATTATAAAATTTTTGCAAATTTGAACTGAACTGGAGTTGGGGATACATTAATGTTGCGGAGTAGGTTTTGTAATTTGCTATTCTTTTTTCAGTACATGTTAAAAGACAAATTATCTAGTTTTGGAACGAAGTTGGCCCTAGTATTCTTTCTTTTTTTTAAATGACTGCGATATCAGGGCCAGCATGCACGCATCTCCACCGGGTAGTTGCTACTTCCCACTAGCACAACATAACTTTTCCTACCTAGCTTTTGCTTCTGCCATTCTATGATTCTCTTCCTTTTTGCGTAAGGCATCGCCACTTCGCAAGCTTAGGCAGATGGAAAGAAATCACCTAGTATTTTTTGTCTTTACTGGAATTTGAACCTAAGACCTCATGGCCCGAGTATTGTTGAAAACTTATATAAATGATTCATAATAGCCGACCCAACTAGTTCGAGAATGAGGTGTTGATTGTTGATAGTCTTTACAATTATAGTTATAATGTAGCATTTGTTTTTGGAAAGTGTTGAATAGTTGATGGTGTTGGACTTCAAATACAAGTGATTCCAATGCTTTATTTTTGTTTTTTTAAATTTTAACTGAACTGGATTTGGCTATGTTAATGTCGTAGAGTAGATTTTGTAAATTGCTACTTTTTCTTTTACTAGACAAATTATCTAGGTTGGCCAGAATATTGTTGGAAATAGAATAAATGATTCATATAGCAGACTCCAACTAGTTCGAGATTGAGGTTTAGTAGATTGGTTGATCGATTGCTCAGTAAATTTTTTGGAGTAGATTTTCTAATTTGCTGCTTTTATTAATGGATGTTAAAAGACAAATTATTTGATTTTCAAAGGAACTAGTTGATTAGTTGACTGATTGATCAATTTGATAGATGAGTCTGCTACAATGGGGGGTAGATTGTTTAATTTGCTATAGTTGGCTGGTCTTCTGATGTACAGTTTAATGTGTTGAATATGATTATAATATGTTTTTTTTTAAAATTTGGAATTAGGGATTTGGAGGTTCGATCATGCTTGCAGTTGTTCTTGGACTAGTACATCAGTCGAAACCACAGGTAAAATTCAATGGGGGGAAAGAAGCCTACAGTCCGCGAAGAAGAGAGCATTATATCTTCCAAGCAGGGTGGTGGTGGAGGGAAGTTAAAGAAGAATAATAAGGTGATTGATGATGATGAATACTCTATGGCGACTGAAATTTCTGACGAGCCTACGATTCAGGAAGAGCAAGTAGCACCAGCATTGGCATTTGACAAGAGAAAAAGTAAAAAGGGGAAGAAAAGGGAGTCTAGCTACGGAGTGGTTGGTGATAGTTACCAAGAGACTGAAAGTGTTGCCTCGTCGAAGCAAGGGAAGAGCAGTGCAAGATTGTTTACTACATCTGTGTTTCACACTATTGATGATGAGGATAACGAAGATGGGCAGCTATCTGAGGAAGATGAAGATCCAGCAGTTGCCTTTACCGGGAAGGGTAATGGCATTTCTTTTAGTGCTAATCTTCTTGACGAAGAAAATGATGCAGATACATCTGTTAAGTTGGAGGCAGAGGCAATTGAAGGAGATGATGCACCAGAAGTTATTTTTTCAGGTAAAAAGAAGTCAGCTAAGAAGAAGAATAAAAATGTGTTTAGTACAATGGACGTTGATGTAGGAACTGACTCGTCCAATGTTGCTGATCAAGACCAAGCTAGCGCAGGGGTTAATCGGGAAGAAGCTGATGACAATATAGGCAAAAAGCAGGCAACAGATGTGTCCGAAACTTCAAAGAACAAAGCCAAGAAAAAGAAGGGTGGGCGTACTGCTCAACTAGATGAGGATGAGATCGACAAGATTCTGGCAGAGATAGGTGAAGGGCAACCTACATCTACACCTGCTCATGCTTCTCTTCCACAAAAAGAGAAAAGTCAATTGCAGTCTCAACTAGGAGATGATTCACGAGAGAAGGAAGCAGTTGAGGAAGGAACTCTGGAGTCTGCTGCGGCAAAGAAGAAGAAAAAGAAGAAGGAGAAGGAAAAAGAGAAAAAGGCAGCTGCAGCTGCCTCTATGATGGAGGAAAAGCAGGAAGAAACAAAGAATGACACTAAAGGAAAATTGGCAGATAAAAAACAGTCGAAACAGGTTAGGGAGATGCAAGAGAGACTTAAGAAAATGAAGGAAGCTGAAGAAAGGAAGAAGAAGGAAGAAGAGGAAAGGTTAAGGGAGGAAGAAGAAGAACGACATCGACAGGAAGAACTAGAAAGACTTGAAGAGGAGAAAAAACGCTTGAAAAAGGAGAGGGAGAAGGAAAAGCTCTTGAAGAAGAAACAAGAGGGGAAATTGCTTACAGGAAAGCAAAAGGAAGAAGCTCGAAGGTTAGAAGCAATGAGAAAGCAATTTCTCGCTAATGGCGGGGGTTTGCCACTCTCAACTGGCGAGAGTACAAAAGAGGCAACCAAACGGCCTATTTACCAAAAAATGAAGTCAAAGCCACAAGCTCAGGCTAATGGAAAAAACCAGGAAGAGTCTGTTGAAAGCACAGAAGTGCAAGAACATCAGCAAGACATTGTCTCTGAGGTTGATTCCATGGAATCTGAGAAGGTTAAGGATATTAATTCAGCAAGCGTAGAGAAGAAGTCAAAAATAGCTGCTGCTGAAGAGAATGGAGTTGAAGAAGAGGAAGATGATGAAGAATGGGATGCGAAAAGTTGGGATGATGCCAATCTTAAATTGCCTGGCAAGAGTGCTTTTGAAGATGAAGAGATAGATTCACATCCGCAACCTATCATTAAGAAAGAGATTAAGGCTGCAAGGTCAGCTGCTAGTGATGCAGGGCCTCTGCCTGTTGCTGCCAAGTCCGTGATTCCTACTCAAAAAGTTGCAGCAAGTGTACCAGCTGTCACTAAGAATGATGGAAGTAAGATGAGGGAGCCTGAGGTTGGGATTGCAGTGGAAGGAACAGAAAAATGTGGTGCTTCTTCTAGCCAGAGTGAATACAATCTCCGGTCTCCTATTTCCTGTATCATGGGCCATGTCGATACTGGTAAAACAAAGCTCCTTGACTGCATACGAGGCACTAATGTTCAAGAAGGTGAAGCTGGAGGGATTACGCAGCAGATAGGTGCAACTTATTTTCCAGCTGAGAATATACGCGAGAGAACTAAAGAACTTAGAGCTGATGCTACACTGAGGGTCCCTGGATTGTTGGTCATTGACACACCTGGACATGAATCATTCACTAATCTGCGGTCTAGAGGTTCAGGTTTATGTGATATTGCAATTTTGGTCGTAGACATTATGCATGGGTTAGAACCGCAGACAATCGAGTCACTTAATCTTCTAAAGATGAGGAATACAGAATTTATTGTTGCTCTGAACAAGGTGAGGTTTATTAGAGTATTGTGATAGTTGATGGTTTATTTGAATTTTTATTTTGTTCTTTTCTTTGTAGTTCTTATTTTGTTTCTTTTTTCGATTTTACTCGGTACAGGTAGATCGGCTTTATGGATGGAAAGTTTGCCGCAATGCACCTATTGTGAAGGCAATGAAGCAACAGTCCAAAGATGTTCACTTTGAATTTAATACGAGGCTTACTCAGGTCATTTATAACCGCTGTCGTCTCAATTCAACGGTTCCTCTCTTTGTGCTACCTCATCTCAACAAGCTTTTATTCAACTGTTGCAGGTCATTACCCAGTTCAAGGAACAAGGTATAAATACCGAATTATACTATAAAAACAAAGAAATGGGAAAGGATACTTTTAGCATTGTACCTACTAGTGCAATCAGGTGTGTGCGTGTATACACTTTATCCCCTTTTTTCTTTTGCTGGATTATGTTTTTCTGCAGCACTCCTATAAGACTTTTGATTTTAGCTAATTATTCGGCTATGGGTTTGATGTTACAGTGGTGAAGGTATTCCTGACTTATTGTTATTACTGGTGCAATGGACACAAAAGACAATGGTTGGGAGACTAACTTACAGCAATGAAGTCCAAGTATGTTTTTCACATACCGTTGTCAGTTTACTTACATGGAGATGGTGAATATTTTATGATTGACTATTGTTACTCTACTGCAGTGTACTGTTTTGGAGGTTAAGGTTGTTGAAGGCCAGGGAACAACCATTGATGTGGTATTGGTCAATGGTGTGCTACATGAAGGAGATCAAATAGTAGTTTGTGGCATGCAGGTAGGCTTCTATTATTTCTTTTTGTTACGGTAAGATTCCTTGGTAATTGTGAATGTCTGATGTTAAAGTTTTTCTTCTTTTCCTATCCTGTTTTTGGTGTAGGGCCCTATTGTCACCTCAATTCGAGCGTTATTGACGCCTGACCCAATGAAGGAACTTCGAGTAAAGGTATGAAACTATGTGCTCCTTGGCCCTAGAAGATTTCTCTGTATCAAAAAAAAAAAACATTATGTGTTCCTTTAAGGCTACGTACAATAAACCTTTTGTGGTCCGACCCTTCCCCGGACCCCGCGCATAGCGGGAGCTTAGTGCACCGAGCTTCCCTTTAGTTAGCTTCCTTTTGAGTTGAAATATTCTTTAACCTCAGTTAAATATATGCCCAAGCAGTTTGTCATTGTTGAAATATGAAAAGTAAAGAGAAAAATTTGAAGGGGGTCAGTTGGGGTACAGGTGTTAATAAAAGAATTGGGTCCTTCTTTTTTCCCTGCAATGTAATCATATTTGTTTTTTTCTTGAACTCTGTTAAGTCTAAATAGTCATGGACTCATTGTGGTGCAACTTTTGTGCTTTGATTGTGAAAACTGGTTTCCATCATGACTGCTTTGTTAGTAATACTGGTGTAGCGTTCATGCTAGTAATATCTAAAATCGGTATCTCAAGATCTTCTTGGTTGCAAACCAAATTTTGTTTTTGGTTGCTAACTAATTATGTCCCTAATTGCTAAATTTGTCAAATGAAAAGTAGAAGGTTGACTATATTGCAGAGGGTTTAGCTCAACTTAGAGATGTGGCTGTCTCTGCATGTTGCGTTCATAGAGTCTGTGTTTTTTTTGCTTCTCCTATTGGTGATAGGACTTGCTAGGTATTGGTGACTGGCTCTTTGATTTTGAATTGTGTAAATCTTTTCACACCTCCGGATGCAATGCTGTTGCGCTCCTAAGGTGCTTCTGAATTGCTGATATAGTTGCAGAACTTGGAGTTGCCACTTTAGACTTTCTCCATTTATATTTGGGTAGACAAGAAGTATATGGGTCTCAGATTTATTTCTCCAATTCCAATTGCCCCTTCTACCCTTGGTTTGTTCGCAATCAGTAAATCCACCTATTCTACTTGAACTTTCAGAACATAGGATAAAAGTCAATATATGTTGCTTATTTCCTAGTATATTTTTCAGTAATTTGATGTTGTGCATGGAATATTAAAAGAACTCTCGAGAATGAGGTCTTTTTTTTAACTTTTAACATATGTTGTCGTGCTCGAGAATGAAGTCATTGTCTTCATGTTAGATTGTCATATGAAGTAATGATGAAGGATTTATTTTCTCGTAATATTCTGTTTCAGGGTTCATATATGCAGCACAAAGAAATCAAGGCTGCACAGGGAATAAAGATCAATGCTCAGGTAATGTCATTTGCTTTTAAATGTGTGTTCTTTACTTCTTTCTGTTTTAAGTTATGCTTTTTGTCACGTTCAGAGCATGGAATGGTTATTGGGTAAGAAAACTGGTGCACCGGCAAATATGTTGAGTGATTTGTCGTGCATGGATAATTGGATATGATGCCTGTAATTTGGAACCGCTGTTATTTTAGGAATTAGGATTAGACGATATTATATCTTGGAGCCTAAGTTGATTTCCTTTCTTTTAAAAATAAAAAATTGTATATTTTCCCCGGCATAACTGGGATTGAGGAGGGGATTTACTGGATATTGGTTAGAATCTTGTTTACTTCTAAAACGGGCAACTTTATAAGGATTTTGGAGGATGCTTAAATTGCACTAAGAAATGGTAGGCGAAAGAGTCATTTCTTTCACGTTTCATTGCTTCCTTTTCTACTGGTTTTCTTCTGTCCATAAATAGATCTACAACAAATTTGTTATGAAATAGATTGCTGGAAAATGAGAATATTATCGCAGTTAGGGCCTTATCCCCCCCCAAAAAAAAATAAAAAAAAAATCCTGGTTAGGGAAGAGATCGCCTTACTTTTTCATATGTTTAACTTTGGGAATATCTCTGATGAATGTTTACTGGAATTAATTGTCTGAAATGTTGATAATAGTTTCCTGATTTTGACAGATATTATTAAACTTTTCTTGTGTCTGTTTTGTTAGCTGAATGATATTTGACATTGAGAAAAACTAGTGAGCCACTTCATAAGAGTTCTCTTTATTTGTTTTTTGGGGATGATGCAATCATTTTCTACCATTTTAGTATCTACCGTTTAGAATCTTTATTATTAGTGTACAGTGGTTCCTCCTTGAAGTTGTGTGATTGAAAGCATTCCCCCCCTTTTCCACTTGGTTCTTTCATTCTTGTGCAGGGGCTTGAGCATGCAATTGCTGGAACTAGTCTATATGTTGTGGGGCCTAATGATGACGTAGAAGACATCAAAGAAGCAGCTATGGAAGATATGAGGTCGGTGATGAACAGGATTGATAAAAGAGGGGAAGGAGTTTATGTTCAAGCGTCTACACTTGGATCATTGGAAGCTTTGCTGGAGTTCTTGAAAACTCCCGAAGTAAGCATACCTGTCAGTGGAATTGGCATAGGCCCTGTGCATAAAAAGGATGTCATGAAAGCTAGTGTAATGCTTGAGAAGAAGAAAGAGTATGCAACAATCTTGGCCTTTGATGTGAAAGTGACACAAGAAGCTCGGGAACTTGCGGATGAAGTTGGAGTCAAAATTTTTATTGCTGATATTATTTATCACCTGTTCGATCAGTTTAAGGCCTACATCGACAATATCAAAGAAGAAAAAAAGAAGGAAGTTGCTGAAGAAGCAGTCTTCCCCTGTCTGCTCAAGATCGTACCTAATCATGTCTTCAACAAGAAGGATCCAATTGTTCTAGGAGCTGATGTTATTGAGGGCATCGTCAAGGTATTAACTTTTGCATCCCTATATCTTGGTTCTATGGCTCCAAAGGAAGCTTATGTAATCAAAATCGTAAACTTACCTTTTCACAAGAATTACAGGGAAACAGATATATGCAAACATAAGTTTTACATGTGTTAGCCAATCCAAAGAAAAGAAGAAAGGAAATCACTTATAAGAAATCAAAGAGAACTTCAACTAATTTAAGAAAATTACTTCCGAACTAACACAGAGTAAATCAAGAGTCCAAAATTGAACCATAACCACAGCATAGTTTCAGCTAATAAAATAGTAGGGCATATTTACAGAGATACTGATACATAAGCCTGTTTTTATGTCAGAACAGCTTTATAAGACAACAGGAAGTTACACGTTTAACCAGGAAATAAATGTTAGCATGCAAGATCCTTATCCCAACCCAATGGAAGTGTCAATTCAGAGCAAACAAATATAAATCACCTATTGTTTGCTCGTATCGGCCTGCTGATATTACCACATTTCGTGGACAGGCTTCAGAGAATCTGTTATTTTTTTAAGCTGGTGAATGAGATTCCATGAGCCCGTGGATCGATACAATCTAGCCTACTGCCGGTTCTTATTTTTATTGTGTCATGTTATTCTCTGTCATGTTACTGCCGGTTCTTTTGTACCTTGCTTTTGTATGCCCGAGCTTGAGGGTTTCACTTTGTTTTGTCTAAGAGATGTTTAATTTACAGGGTACTGCCAGATTTCCTTCTAATTGCTAAGTGCTTTTGAATACTGTAGCCAATGTTGCCATTTTCCTGTCATTGATTTTCTCATACTTTTGACCTTTGCTCCGCACTTAACAAGTTATCGCAATCAAGAGTTGATTGAATTTTCTTAATTCTCTTTTCCCTTTTTTTAATTATCTGCAATACTGTTCTCCCATTCACATCTGCGTTTCAATTTTTGTTGTTCTTTTGTTGAGTGGTTTACCTGGATTAAGCTTTCCACTGTTATCATATTTGACAGTTGTAGTGCCAGAATGCATCTGCTTCTTAATGTTCGAATCCTCATTTTGATGAACTTAATTTGAATAGGTCGGGACTCCAATATGTATTCCACAGAGGGAATTCATTGATATTGGCCGGATTGCATCCATCGAGAACAACCATAAGCCTGTTGATTATGCCAAGAAAGGACAACAGGTGGCCATTAAGGTATGAAGCCATATGTCGGTTGATATCTATTTGCATAAATTGATAGAAATGTGCTAACAATTTACTTCATGAGTTGTTAGCAACTTGGATATTTTTTGCTTCTATGCACATAGGTTCTCATCTTGTGCCTTAAATTGCAGATAGTTGGAACTAACCCAGAGGAGCAACAGAAGATGTTTGGTCGGCATTTTGATATTGAAGACGAGCTTGTTAGCAAAATATCTAGAAGATCCATTGACATTCTCAAGGCCAATTTTCGGGTACGTAAATTTACCTTCACAGAGGCAGCTTTAGATTCTTGCTCCCTTTTGTTTAGGCCAACACTCACATTTACTTGCTGCGTCTTTAAAACTCTACAGAACGACTTGTCTGTTGAAGATTGGAGGCTCGTGAAGAGTCTGAAGACCCGATTCAAGATACAATGAGACATTTCTAAGCTTTGCAATTAGCAAAGGCCTTGAATTTTTTGGGGCACTGCATTGGGTTTCAGCAGTTCATCAGACAATAAGCAGTGATTTGGTTATGAGGTAAAGAGTTTGGACTCGAGATAGATGGGCACATAATGCATTCTTTGTAGACTGATTGTCGAATGGAAACGATGTTACTGGTTAGTTTCAGTTGCAATAGTATACTCGTATTTTGGTAATGAAGTAGTGAAAAATCACATATTTTTCTTTGACGCATGTGCTTGTGAGAGATTATATTAAAAAACTATGAGATATGGCCTACTATGAGGGTGTTTGGCTAAGCTTATAAGCTGGTCAAACTAGCTTATAAGCACTTTTCGGCTTATTTACGCGTTTGGTAAAGTTAAAAGTGCTTATAAGCCAAGTGTTTATAAGTCAAAAATAAGCCAAAAGCCATAAGCTGGTCACCCTCAGCTTATGAATTTTTAGCTTATAAGCACTTTTCGGCTTATTTACGCGTTTGGTAAAGTTAAAAGTGCTTATAAGCCAAGTGTTTATAAGTCAAAAATAAGCCAAAAGCCATAAGCTGGTCACCCTCAGCTTATGAATTTTTAGCTTATAAGCACTTTAAGTTTGACCAAGATTTTTACTATTTTATCTTTAAATTATTCCTTTTTAGAACAAAACTCTTACATCGATACTCACTGCCTCAAGTATTGTTTCAACCTAAACCCCCTCCCAAGTCTGCAATTCTCATTGACTATTTAAGATAGGCAAATTCTCTATTCCTTTGCATATTTGTATCTATGTGATTGTATATTAATCTTTGAATTGTATGTAATAAATGAGGATATATCAAATTTTTGGTGTATTGCTTTCTAAGTGTTGTGGTGATGAAGATGATGTTTGTTTCTCTTCAAATATTTCGTCCCATTTAGGTTTATTTTTTATTGAGAAATTTTTGTCAATTTATTAATTATTATAATTTATGATTATATGCTTATCATAAAATAAATTATATTTATCATAGAAGTTATCTTATCTAAGCACAGTTGTATTTAAAATAAAATGACAAAATGAGTATTTTGTATTTGGATCGATTTGAATCTAAAATTTTGAAGAAATCACGCCCTTATAAGTGTAAACAGTTCTAAGGTTATTTAAGTCATTTTAACAGAAAAATAGCTTATTAGTACTTTGTTTTATCAAATACTGCAAAAACTTATTATCAATTTCAATACTTGTATCCAAACACGTAACTACTTATTTATTAAATCAGTTTCAGCACTTAATGCTTATCAGTTACTTCAAATCAGCTAATCCAAACGGGCTCTATATCTTGCTATTGTTTCCAAATAAAATTTCTTGGAATTTTATTCTTAGTGTTCTTTCAAATGTTTGTATGCTATTTTATTATTCTAGAACAATATACCGGGTCCAGGGAAGGGATGGACCATAAGGGTTTATTGTATGCAGTCTTACCCTATATTTCTGCAGGTGTCTGTTTTCACGGCTCGAACCCGTGACCTCCTGGTCACATGAAGGCAATTTTACTACTTACGCCAAGGCTCCCTTTCATTCTAGAGCAGTATCTTGCCTATAAAAGGCCAATAGCATGTTGTTAGGTTTTATCAAAATTATCCTGTATCGCCAATCAACTACTATCCTTCCTCTATAAAATTGGAAGGGAAAAAAATATCCTCAAGTAATTACAATTTACAAGTTCAAATTACGACTTTGTCACGACCCAAAATTCAACTAGTCGTGATGGCACCTAACCCAACCCGCTAGGTAAGCCAACTTTCAATTATCCAATTTCAATAGCAATTATTAAAGCGATTTAAGTAAGTAAAGATATTAATCTTATACATTCCCCAAGAACTGGTAGTACAAATCATGAGCTTCTAAGAATAGAGTTTACAAAGCGGAGATGAAATAAATACATAGTCTGTTTGAATAGTACATAAACAGATCTTTTATAAATCTAAGGCTACCATGAACAAGAGGCAGCTACAACAGGAACGCAAGTACATCTTCAAATTCGGCAACCATCGAGCACAACAACAACAACAGCCAACATCTGCACGCAATGTGTAGAAGTGTAGTATCAGTACAACTGACCCCATGAACTGAGTAAGTAACAAACCCAACCTGATTGAAAGCACTGACGAGCTTTTACCAAGGTCAGATCCAAAACCAATAGTTCACCACAGTCCATAACAACGTAAAGCCAATAATATAAGAAATCACTCAGAAATAAAATACTCAACTAAATCATGATTTCTAAAAATAGTTCTTCCTTTCAAGTGTATCAGTGAAAACCCAAATCGTTTACCGAAATTTCCAAAAATATGAATAAGTTTGAAAGCAATAATTTTTTCAAAAGTCCTTTCAATAATAAATGAGATGTTTCATTTTCTTTCCTGATAACCCGTGTAAAACAAATGCATCACTATGCCCATCTGTCAACATGTGTGAGAAATCATGAATGATGTGATACTGTACAACATGAGAAAAAAAATATCTCTATGCCTGTATGTCATGCATGCATGCCAATGCGATGCAACTCAGTGATAAAATCATATGCATACTCCCAGAATATCATTTCACTCAGTTCTCCCAGTCACTCAGTCCTCCCAATCGCTCAGCACTCGCACTCAGTAGGTACCTGCGCTCACTGGGGAGGGGGGGTGTACAGACTCTAGAGGGGCTCCTTTAGCCCAAGCGCTATAATCTGCACGGACAATTCGCGTGCTATAATAATATATGGATCCGCACGGACAACTCACGTACTGCACGGACAACTCACGTGCTATAATAATATCCGGATTCGTACGGACAACTCACGCTATAATAATGAGTTGCTATAATAAAGCCTATAAGGCCTGCTACAGGCGAGCAGCCCCCGATCCGCATAATAATCCTCATAATTAGGCCCTCGGCCTCACTCAGTAATCAATCTCTCCAGTCTCTCTCTCATGGGCTCACAATGTCATGAAAATAGCCCAAAATGATGATATGATGTATCAATAAATAATAACAGAGATTGAGATATGATATGTAATGACATGAATATGACTGAGCATAAATTTTTAGTAAATAAATAATTCACAGCAATATGACCTCTGTGGGTCCCAATAATACTGGCACATAGCCTCAACATGATTTTTAATATGCTTTTCAGCTCAATTTCTTTAACACATAAAACCACATGAAAAATGCCAAGATTATTTAACTACAAAACTCTATATAAATAATTATGTCACAATTTTTATAGTGCACGCCTGTCACGACCCAAAATCCCACCACAGGAGTCGTGATGGCACCTAGTCTCTAAGACTAGGTAAGCCGATTTCCATTACATATTTGGAGCCATTTAAAAAAAAAAAATAATAACAACGGAAATAATTACAATATATGAATGTACAACCTCCCAAGACTGGTAGTACTGAGTCACGGACTCTAACTGAATATATAGAATGATCACGAGGACCGAATATACAATACTGTTTGATTACAAGTTAACAGTACAATGAAATGAAAAGACTCCAAGGGACTGCGACGACCAAGCAGCTCTACCTTGAATCCTTACGATCCCGCTTTAACTCTGCTCAAATTCGTTATCTTCAATACCTGGCTCTGCACAAAAATATGCAGAAGTGTAGTATGAGTACGCCACGGTCGGTACCCAGTAAGTATCAAGACTAACCTCAATGGAGTAGAGACGAGGTACAGTCAAGACACTCACTAGTCTAATAACTTGTGCAACATAATATAAAAAATTATAGGAAACAAATAACAATAGGACAACATGGAACAACCAGTGATATGCACAACAGACANTCATATTTTTCGTAAACACGGGTCTCAGCCCATTTTCATATTTTCACGATACCTCGTGCCCATAATTAAATCATCATATTTTCCCCGCACCTCGTACCCTCATTTCATATCATAACTGCACGGATAATTCACGTGCCAGTTATCATTATCATTTCATCACAGCACCTCGTGCCCACATTTCATATCACAACTGCACGAACAATTCACGTGCCAAATATTCTCATTATTTACTCACGGCACCTCGTGCCCACATTTCATTTTATAATCCGCCTGGCAATAGCCAGAGGCTCTCAATTTCAACATACATCATATTGTTATCATTTTACCAACAACAAGACAAGTTGCACAAGGTGTAGAAATAAACACAAGAAAATCACATCACCTAAAAATATCAACACCACAACCCCACATCACCACATATCGTCCCTAACAATAGCCACCCATATCGCTCCTATTGCCACCCTTATTGCTCCTATTGCCAGCCTTATCACTCCTATAGCCCAGACAATATCAATAGCCACCCTTATCGTTCCTATAGCCACCCTTATCGCTCCTATTGCCACCCTTATCGTTCCTATAGCCACCCTTATCGCTCCGCCCAGATAATATTCCAACAAACACAACAACAGTGAAATGCCACCCTTATACCCGTGAAATGCCACCCTTATCTCCCCAATATAGTAACTCACACAACACAATAATTTACACGAAAAATTAACACGGAAATATAATAAAATCAATTCATATCATAATTTGCCGAATGGCCACAACCAAATTTTAAAGATATAACAAAATCAATTAATTTCACAACAAATAGCCCAAGGCTCCACACAATGTATATAACATCCAAAAATAATCAATAGAGATAGAAATTACTCAGCATAAAGCAAAATCTTCATTAATGCAAATTTAGATAATTATATTAACACTTATTCTTAAGCTCGCTTAAATTAATTATTTACATAAGAAGATTCATATTGGAATTTATTTCCAAGAAATATTAAACCAACAATACTCACGAAATTTCATAAATATTTCAAGTAACAATCACATCAAATTATCATATAAAAACAAATTCAACAATAAGGATTTAGGCATGGCAAACAGATGATTTAAAATTTTTTCACAATTTCTCAATTTACTACGCAATAATGCCTAAGACTTTAATTCAATGAATTTTGTACGTATAAGCCCGAGCACGTACTCGTCACCTCGCGTACACGGCTTTTCACATTTCACAAATGGCACATAAGACTCAATGTCTAAGGGGTAATTTCCCTACTCGAGGTTAAGCAAGACACTTACCTTTTTGAAGTTAGGCCGATATTCCAAAATAGCCTTCTTGCTTGAATTGGCCTCCGGACAGCTCAAATCTATCCAAATTAACTGTATAACTTCATTAGAATTCATCGGAAACAATTCTGGATAATA